TGCCTGTCCACATTTTCACCCATGAGAGCTTATCCCAATGAGATAATGCTCGACGAGGGTCCAACGGTCGAACATTAGCAGCCCGAGGACAAGGCCGCAGGATCAGGAAGCTTCGTGAATTGTGAAGAAAGTTAATAATAGATCGGAATTCCGCGGCGCGTGATGGGACTGGAGCACGCCACTCGGTCACGCAACAACTACGCAGCTCACGTCGTAGAGTAGACTCTCGCTAATCCGGCCAACGGTGCCGGACTATTTGAAATGTCGAATAACTGGGCGCCATCTATAATAGTTTAAATACTTTTTAAGTTGTCAAAAGAGCCCCGGAAGACTTATGCAGAGCTTACACTTCATGAATTAGAAGCCGGATTGTCGGATACCGTATCAACAAGATTTTTACGCAATTCAGGAAACAATTTATCTGTAACAAACTTTTTCAGAGAAAGAGAACATTTTTGAATGAAACAATTGTCAATCTAAAATGACTCGTTTCTTATAACTAAATCTGGTTCTAGCTTGACTATGCATTTTTTAACTCAATTCTGAGCTGCCTACTATGATAAAACCATATTTCTGTGTTTGTTCCCTAAAACTATTAATTTTAATGAAAATCCCTGTACGTAATTTCATTGTCATTTACAGTTATATTTGACATTCTTCGGCATTCCAATCAATACTTTATATACGTATAGTTTCTAATCTCTTTTCTCCATAGGATTTCGATAACTGCTGCTTCTTAAAACCATTAAAGGTTGATTATTGTCTTAACTTGTACCTTAAAAAACCACACATGAAACCACACTCAAAAAGGAAATATGTTAACCTCGATTTCCTCCTTTTACTTTGTTGGTAGAATGGAAAGTGTTAAACAAAATTATCTAATTAGCCAGTGCGAAAAGGGGGAAAGCGAAAGTAGTGACAGAGGATAACACAAATCGTCCCGTTAACAGCTTGAGCCAAACGGATTACTCTATCGTGGGGAATAATGTTAAACCGTAATCGTACATTCCAATTCAAATAGTTTAAATTTTTTTGAAAGGTTTAAAGAAAAACAATTTATTATGAGTATCTGAAAGGGGGATTCTGTAGCTAATTATAACACGCAAAATTACAAATACCAACAATAAATCACTTTGGCGTGCTAGTTTTGACTTTTCCACTATTCGTTCTACGTTTCCGCACCCCAAATTTTAACCTTAAAACGTAATATCGTAAGCATGTATCAGTTAGAAAAACAACTCTAAATAAAAGCAACATGATTCACTCGCACAATACATTACAAAATAAGTCTCTGGAGTATTTATTTTTCCTGGTAACTATTGGCGCAATTATAAGTGCTACGCTACTTTCTGCTTGCAATGCACTTTACGTAAGAAGGTAATAAAGTGCACCAATATAATTCATACCACATCAAAGTGATTATCTAAGAACTAAGTGACGAGAGAGGGAATGACTAGCGATTGTGACTGTGATGAAAAGCACGATTTCATTCAACTTATTACCTGCTATGAGCACCCATTGTGCAAATGCCTTCCTTCAACATTACTCAAAACTATTGGCAAGTCAGCAGGTCGTTGATTACAGCTATGAATTACAGTACCAAAGAATAGTTATATAACAGATTTAAATATTGGAATTCCCACTACAAATAAGTTTTGGACCATCAAACACGGTTTGGAACTATAAATATAATCTATTAAACACCCATTAATTTAAACATAATTTTTTACTTTGATATTTCTCCAACTTAAAGATTATTTTCTTATTAGGACAAACACACAGCTCTGCTTCAAAATAGACCGAGGCCACTTGAACATTGTAAGGCAACAGGCAGTCTGCAAGGCTTCGAATCAACGTCGTTTGTTCGGCTTTAGCTACTCTACCTAGTTATGTATGCAGGGGAGGTTTGTTTGGAACCTATTCAACGCAACCTTGTTACTTATAACCGTCCTGAATTTTTAGCAGACGGTGTCAATACATTATCTCTTTTAAAAACTCATCAGCCCCTAAAATATGGTGTCTATTAATCAGCGTTTAGAATAGTATATGTTAATTAATTTTACATTGACATCAGAAGTACGTCAACTACTTAATCTTTTATGTAGGATTATGGCAAACATAGAGGTATAAATGAGAAACGAGATAATGTCCCTTAAGCTAGTACGCGGTCGTACTTGTTTTTTAGCAGAAGTTATTCCATTCCCAGTTTTTTCACTTAAATTTTAATTTTTTTACTTGTTCTCCAGTTGTGAATCAAATATTTCCAAACACTTGATGATAATGAAACTACTGTGTTTCCCGAGAAAAGTCAAATTTTGTGATATTCTAGAAAAGTCCTTTACCTCGTTGATGACTTATTATAGTTCGGCCGCATAGAAAACGACCTGCGTGCTAATGCTAAACCAATGCTAGAGGAGGTCGCTTTCTAAGCGGCCGAACTATAGTAGACTGATTTATAGTATTCTCACTAAGCATTGGATTTATCTTTGTGATTGGGAGGTATTATTTTTTTATATTAGTTTTCCGTAAATACAACAAAATCCAAATACAAAGTGTTTACACCTGAATTACAATATTCGTGAAAGGAAACTATTCGTTAACTACAACCTCAAATGATTACAAGTTCACTTTCTCCCGTGCAAAAATTGTAAGAACAATGTAATCCCGTTATACAACCAATTAAATACTCTCAGCTTTAAAAAATGAAATTCAGAAGTCACGGAATGTTTTGTAACATATTTTCCGACCCGTAATTCCTTTATAATTAGTAACCACAAAGTCGTGAGTTTGGCCGTGCAACAAAGTGTGCTCAACCAATAAGGAAGACTAGTGCACCTGTTGCTCGAATTCGAGCATTCCATAGTATTACTGGCGTTATTTCAAAACGAATTACATTCATAATTTCCGATGACTTAAAAGAGTCAACTTAAAGATAATGTAATCAATCACTCCACTACAGTTATCGAAACTGAAAACGTACGCTCTTGTGTGTATCATGTGTTCACTATGAACAGCTGCAATTAATACAAATTATTCGTCTGTTTAAGCTCAGAGTATTACTCTGATGTTTAAGTAAACGAAATCTTTTCTTCATAAGAAATACATTAGGATTTTGATGGCCTGTGGGGCAAAGCCCAAACTACTTTTATCAAAGCAATTGATGAAAAGGGACGTCTACATAAAAATCCTTAACTTTGATACATCGTTTGTAAAGATCCGTCCATTATTAATGGAGGAGTAGTTTTTCGTAGAAATCACCTTCACGTATTATATATAAGGATTAGTTTGTTATCCTATTTTAGTGACTGAAGCACAATTTCTGCATTATGTGACGTTTGGTGACAGAGCATGCGTAACCTGGCTATGCTCAGCCAGTATATACGCACGCGCTGATGTAACGTTATGTGGTTTCATGCGTCACGCTCGCACAGCTGTTGTGGTGGTGTTTTTGGTCAACAGTATCACTTCCTAGACCACCTTCATGTAATTAGAGGGTATTTATATTACATAATAATTTTAACCTCAACCTCTTATAAAATGTCGTATTTAATTGTAACACTGTAGAAACTACAAGGAAAAATGTTTGTTAGGTTTTGTGCAACCTAGAATTTGGTTTGGAACAGATTATCGAAGTTAGAACAATTGAAAGGCTTAGTATGGTTATTTTACTAATTTTTTTCTGTTGTCCCTTTTTGAAAAGACCTACAAAAGCGTCAATGCTTTAGAGACTGAAGATCAACAACCCTGGAAAAGACTGAGTTGTGAACAACACCTAAAATGTCTTTAACTTTAATGTCTTAATTTGTAACTTTAATGTCTTAATTTGAAGTTCGTAATCATTGTGAATCAGTCATTTGACTACTGAAATCGGAGTTTAATGATACGCAGTTTTAAAAACAAAAAATACACATACACATAAAAAAAACTATTAACAAATATAACCTGGTGCACAAACCTTTTTCACACGTGACGAGCAGTTGCAACAAACACGAAGAGCCGAAGCGGCAGCCATGGAAAATGAAGACCGATGGGATTTAAAATTGGCGCGTCGAGTTTTGTTTTGTTTCCCTCCACAATAGTGACCAATTTCATCTGATACAAGAACGATCTGTCACCCATTGTGACCTGGACAATAAACTTTCCGCCTTGTTACCAACTGCTTTCTATGTGCGGAGGAAAGTAGTACCTCATCGATATGATCTGCCGGAACGTATATTTTTATTACGAAACCAAAAGCCATCATACTCGTACTTCCTGTGTTTGATGACGCGAAAACAATTTGTTCATTGGTGTTTGATTGATTTACGTAACAGGAAGAAAGCCTTGTGAATATACTGCAGTTTTGTACAAATAAAATAGTACTGTAGTAGGTAGTTAGTTATAGCAACAGCCTATTTATTTGTGAGTTAGTAATCGTTGGACTAATCAATAATGTACTGTAATTGTATTGTACACCATAGAAATATTTATCTATACAATTTTATTAAGTAGTCACAAGCTTAATTGGGGAAACCATTTTACAATTATAAATAAAAAGCATTTCTCTGGGCTAAAAGTATAAGAGAGTATGTTTTATCTATGGTATGATTAAAGAACCATGTTCTTAATATGAGGATATCTTTCTACATATGTATAAATGATATGAATAAAGCGTAAGCTAAGTTAATGCCTCAGTACCATACGTTTCAGGAAAATTATCAACCATTATATGACCAATGAAGCACTTTTGATTTAAAGTCGAGTATTTTATGACTACTTGGCTACACGAATTTTGTACAGTCAAACACAGAACCTGCGAGAACAGAATCTAATATATTTGCGTGGTTCTATAAATGACAAACATCCGATTCCCTGTTACTGAATAAAAAATAACCTAAACTGAATTTAAGTTGAATCCCCAATAGAGGAAAAGTCCTCATTTACTGGCTACTTTACTCAAAACCACTGGCTATATATTTAATTATATTACATTTATCTGTGTGGTAACCGATTGTACTTACCTACGAAGCTTTGGTTGGTTGCTACTTTAATGGTCATGTAGCCCGCTTTACATGTTGCGGTCACCACTGGGGCAAAGTCCTGCTCCACAAGCGTCTGCGTCCTCGTCTGGAACATGGAAATCACAGGTTAAACCGGCAAATAAAATCATCAGTTCCTCGAGGTTTTGCAACTTGTTTTATTTTCCGTAATTAAAATTGTTTGTAATTTGTTTCAATCTTAATTGAGGGTAAACATTATAACGTGTCCTTCACTGTTTGGTCATAATAGTTGAAAGATATATTATATGTTGCAGCTTTTAAGTTGGTGTGTTCAATAAATTATACATAATAAACATCTACACACACCTCAGTTGATCCGTAATGATGACAAATCTAAATGAAAGTAAGTAGGTTTATTGATAAACTGTAACTTAGTTAGTTTGTTAAGAACCTTTTCGTGAATTTGTTTTACACAGAAGCTCCTTGGAGACGTAAGCAGTAGACAGTTTACTGGACACAAGAACGTATGCATACCATAAACAACTTTCAAGACCTACTGAGACGAATTCCTACCGGTCTCCCACGTTGGACAAGACACTAAGCGTGCATTTTACATGCAAAACACAAGATCTATGATATCCAAGCTTAGACGAGATCCGAGGATAATGCAGGACATGAGAGTTTCAGGCCGAACTCATAAAAGTAGATATAGGGGCGAGAGGCTGCGAGTTTCCCGGGTTTATAGCCACATAATCCCGCGCTTGTTACGTACGGTCCAGTGGCCACATGTGGTCAGTGCTACCAACCTAGCGATATTGTAATACAATGACAACAATCTGTGAAAATATATATATCAGTGACCCTATGTGGTCAACCTGGTGATATCGTGATATTTTGATATCGTAACTGATTGTATCAAAATACAGGATATATTACCCACCTACTTGGTGGTACCGTGCCATAAGTCTACGAAAATGAAATTTTTTTATTCAAAGATCAATAATAGTAATGTTGGTGTGATATTGCAGCGCTCTGACTTAAGTCTTTGAAGTTTTTGATACATATCAATGACCCTAAATGGTCAAAGTGACCAATCTGGTGGTATTGTAATCTTGACACAAAATCTGTGAAAATTTATATCATTGGCATTATATGGTCAACGCAGCCTAACCTAATTATACTGCAAAAGTCTGCCACTGATTTGTAAGAATATTCGTATACGTCACAGAGTTGTACAGTTGTGTAATATCCAACATAATCTACACAATACACTATATTGCCGAATTTATGTGGTGAACGTAGCTTACCTACTGAAGTATTTTGCTACCAACCTTTGAAAATATACACCACCGTCCTTTATGATAAACATATCCTAAAATACCTTCCTCGAAGCCGTAAACATCAGTATCTACATCAAGAATGTAAAATGGGTTTACAATCAATTAGGTTTGCCGACTTGAGAAAATGCCAAATGCATGCAATAAACAGGACGTTACCATTCTAATACACACCACACTTTCCGACCAGGAAACGAATGAGTTTTTTATTTGACTGTCAGGGCTACCCGCCAATAGTAATACCCACCATTAAAAAACGAAAATTATATCACCTCGCCCCTAGCGTCTGTGCCGTCTGATGATTTAACGCGTATCTCTGATTGCCGGGTTTTTACCGTTATAACGGCAAAGGGGGGTTATTTGCGGGTTTTTGCGACCTTGCGCACATTAAACTTTAGAGGTCTTTGAAAACCTGTCGCCGATCGGTAAGACGTTTTTACCGACTCGTTAAATGATTCTGCTCGTCTTGACCTTTTTGTAAGACCAATTAAAGATAATTACACGCAATTAACTGTAAATTTTATAACAGTCCAATGACGTGTTTATTGACTCGTTTGGTTGCAATGCAAGTGTTTGAGTACAGTTAAGGTAATTAGTGACGCAAGTTAGTGTACTGTTGATTTACTATGTACAGTATCACCAAAAATAATCGAATAATTTGCCTGAGATTTTGCAACTAGTAAAGGTCATTAATATGCTGAAAATCTGCTGAAATTGATACTACCATAAATTATAGAACTGTACGTATTTTGTGTAGTTATTAGTAAAGCCCACGAACACTAAAAAAGACCCGGTATGGATCAATAACATAAACAAATGACGTTTTTGGCCCAAAAGTAAACAAACCCATATGTTAATTAATGCTGTTACTTAATGCTGTTTACTTTCGGGCCAAAAACGTAATTTGTTTATGTTTATGATCCATACTGGTATTTTTCTAGTATTCGTGGTAGCCACACGCACACGAATATTAGAACATAAATCGGCATGGATCATAAAAATAAACAAAATAATTATATTACTAACCCTAAAGTAAACATGATTTGACATTGCTTAATGGACCTATCTAAACCAGGTGTTAATGTTATTAGTATAGGATTCGGGCCAGTTACGTCATTTTGTTGATGTTATGATCCATACCGATGTTCTTATATTCGTGGTATAACCATAAACAAATTAACCAATTAGCCGTTCAGCTAAACAACATCCTACATATTTTATTTATTTTAACAGGCTGTGTTTCCATTTACTACTGTACATATAAATTCGAAAAATGTAGATATTGCAACTTAATTGCATTTACCAATGGAGGGAAATGAAATATATTAAATATTTCTTACATACTGATTTAAAAACCAAGAAAGACGGAGTCCTGCCTCTGAGGTACCTTAAGATCAGGAACATTACAGAATATTTGATTGGCATTTGATTTTAAATAAAATCCAATAGTCATATTGTTAAGATAAACATTTAGGACGACTGAGCTCCTAAAAATATTTAACAAGTGGTGTTCGGTAAAAACGTCCCGACGTTTCTTTTGTTGTACTATAGACTTTGGTAAAGGTTTTTAAAAATAAATATGACTCCAACAAACAAAATAAACTATCGCTGAGAGTCGTGTATTCAACTACAGAATCCTTTACTTCGGATAATGACAAACTGTGTAAATATTAACTATTTCATGCTATTATTTTACAACGTTTCAAATCTAATAAAAGGTTTGCCAGGAAGTACACGAGATTTGGTTGTAACTGACACAGCTGTTGAGTAATCCTCCATGATAATTACCCACGTGTAATTACCATGTTACTCAGTCATCCTAATGTCGACGCTACAGCAATGTTACCAGAACAATATCTACCGTTACATTGTTTCCCCGCACAGCCCATTGTTAACACTAACACAGACATCAACTACAGTACAGTATGTTAAAGTGCGACTTTCATCAGGGGTTTTAGTAGTGTAACGTAGCTGTTCCAATACTCTATCACTATGTATCAGTTTGTAGGGGGGGATGAGGTGTCTGAGCGTAATTAATTGCCCAATTTACCTTAGTTACGTAAGATAAACGTAGGATTTATTATTCTTATCGGGTTTATAACTTCTGCATTCACTGAAGAATTTTGTAACGTTGTGTTTGTGGAAAACTGTTACAGTGTAAATCGAGTATTAAATGTGACTAGTGTACCTGTTGCTCAAAATCGAGCAATTGTCAAGTACCGGTATTATACAGAAGTTATTTTAAAACTACAGTAATAACAGTCACAATTTTTAATGAGTTTAAAAGACCATGACTTAATGCTTATGTAAATAATTGAAATACTCACGCTATAAATTGCGCTTTGAAATAATAAACATTTCTTGTAAAAACATTTTAGAATTTTTTGGACCCGGCCTTATTTTTTAGTGTTTTCTACAAATGATTCCCGACTTAAAGCTGTTACCAGCAAACATTTCTTCCATGTATTTATTTGATCTGACTTTAGGTAGGTTTACTTACCACTGTGACAACATGATGTGTATATTCTTCATGGCTTTTTTTTACTTCCAGAATAAGTTACTTAGCATAACTGGCAAAAATGATTCATTTCCCCAAGTGATTGTGTACCTAGATTCCTTACTGTGAGACAGGGCCTCTCCTCTACTTTTCTCATAAGTATAAGATTTCCTATTAATTGTCTCCTCCTACTGTTTTCAATATTTCTCCTTTAAATTCAAGAAATTTTCTGTTCTTCCAACAAAACTGATTAACTGTTTAGATTTGTTTATAACCTCCTAAATATTACAAACATCAATATTTACACCCAAAAAGATGTTGAGTTTATTTTTATATACAGCTGTTTTTGTTTTTATTTTTTTCAATGTAATTCTTATGGGGGAAATGAGAGCTTCTCGTGCCCTTAAGGGTAAGAGATTTTAAATTCTAAAACTTTTATGCAAGACTTCGAATTGAGACGAATTATTTGACACCTCAAACGTTAAAATAGGCCCAGAAATAACGGAGGAGTTTTGTTCACAAAAAACAGCCCTCACGTATTAATATAAGAGAAGATTTATTGTGTATTTATTGTGTAATAAATAGTATTATTAGATTTACAGGTAGAGTGACAGTTACACAATCTAAAAAATATACTGCCACCACAGTACATTCTTGAATATAATTAAAATGATAGTACGAAGTTACAACACACGAATAATCGACCCAACTGAGGCCAAAGTGTAAAGACCATGGTTATATTCAATTACTTGCCTTCGAATGTTTGGCCATGCATAAATCAACCAACATTTCCCTAAGTGTTCATACTATTAACGTATTTACATAGAAATACTCAAGAATGTTTTAACCGATGTTGATCGAGTATTTCGCAATTTCGAGTCGGCATTTTAATATTCTACAAAAAGACATTCGTGGCCACAAAAAGTTGTAAATGTCGAAGTTGAGAAGAAGTTTGTCTGAGACCGAAGATCAGGTTTTGGCGGTAGAACCGGCCGAATGCTGAAGTGACATAAGGATTTCATCACTTAACTGACTAGTTTTCGGAATTGATTTTGTTTGACCTTTCCACCAAATTTTTCTGATCATTCAGTTAAGATTTTTACATATATAAAATTCAAATTACTCAATTCCTGATTGTTCAATTGGCCTGATTGTTTTGGAGTAATTATAAAACTAAAGTCGATTCTTCTAGATGTTTTTTTTTTCAGTATTCTAAGTAAATATCCAAGAAAGCTGGTGTAATGTGATGAGTCAATTTAAAACTAAATCTATCAATAACATAGTTAACCCATC